TGCATCGCTAGTAGTAACAAGTGCCTTACTAGTAGTAACAAGAAGCTGAACAGTTTAGTTTGTTGAATGTTTTGACATTTTGGGCTAAAGACCCACAGCAGGCGCCACTGCTCTTGGCTTCGAAAGAGCTTTTACTTTTAATGAAAAATGCACGACTTTACCTCGCTTCTAGCACCTGGCGGAATGCGATGCTTAGACGCAAGTGGCGAGCGGTGCTTCAAAGCTAAGTTTCTTCAAAGCAAATTCTTCGTGCCTTGCCAAGGAGCTTTATCCCATCAGAACTCGTTGCCAGGACTTTGCGCTCAGACAAGGAGACAAACAGATTTAAGAAGTCTGATTTGCTCGTTTGCTCTGAAGGGTTTCCGGCTAAGCCAGTATGTTTCGCTTCAGGACCCAATCGAAGAGATCACCCGACTCCTCATTCAGATTCAGACCCCTGGAAACTTGGACTGGTGGAGGCCATCGCTATTAGGTTGGAGGCCATCGCTACTGGGGTGGAGGCCATTGCAATGAGGTTGGAGGCCATCGCAATTACTGGGTACCTGTGTTAAGTCGTCTGGTCTTGTAGAAAGTCGTTTGGATGCTGTGTTTACAATGGGGTTAGATGCAAGATGGCAATATGATTGGAAGATAAGCTTTGGAATATCAGTTCAACACCATTGTTTGGATGCTTCGTTTCCACGCAGGTTAGAAAAGAATCGTGTAGTCTCAGCTGCAAACTTCGACATAAATCTAATTCTTTTGTGCACAGGGGCAATGAATTCTTGATGTATCGCAGTTTTGACAAACATACTTCCGTAGAGCGTTCACATGAAGTTTTAACATAAACCGGGTGACTTTCGCAAGCTGGGTGACTTTTGACTAATGCTGCGTTTTACATGCGGCCGGGTGACTTTCTGCAAACCGCGGTGACTATTACGTTCCTTTTGAAGTGTTCTGTTTTGGCCATTACTTGTAGGTCGGAGGTAGTCTTCTGAACCTGGAAGCGCATTTCGACGTGCGAGATGTCCTCCATGTCCTCGTCTAGGTAGTGAGCGGCTCCTGACCATCATCACGGCCATACGCATGGCTCGATCAAGGCGCTTTCAAAACGTTGGACGCTGTGAACGCTGTGCACTGATTGATGTTCAATGCAAAGGGTATGCTGTGTCTCAACATGCGAAGAATTGAAACCAGACTGGTACCTTCCCAAGAGGAAATATTCCTCTATGCAACGAATCATCCCTACGACACAATTCGGGCTGCTGGTGGTTCTTGCAGTGTCTCTTGACAATGTTCAAAGCGGCTGATCACCTGTAAATGCTCTCAGCATGAAAAACTGATGGCTTTTCGTTGCAAATATGTTTGCTTTGTGTTTTCCTCCCGTCTTTGGACCGAGGTTGATCACACTCACGCCTTTTCTTGATGGCAAGAGTGATACATCATTCTTGGAAGCTTGGGCACTAATCGTGTTGACCGGAATCTCGTTGAACCTCCTGTAGCCGAACCATATGTTCCTTGCACCGTGCTTGCTTGCGAAATGTTGGGAGTTGACAGAACATTCAAAAGCGGACACACGCTTCTCAAGGCACAATGCTTGTACGGAATCCTGGTGGAGGTTCTCATTTTCGTGATCGTTTATGTTGGTGGTGGACCAGGAGACATCCATTTTGATCATGTTCGCACCAGCAGTTTACTCAGCACCTGTTGTGCAGGACTCGGCATTTATACAACAGACAAGGACATGACATTTGACGTTTCGGGCGAGGCAGCACAAAGAAAAACATGTAACATTTGACTCTGAAATGTACTCGTTACATGTTTTTCTTTGTAGCACGAAGCTGATCGGTTTGGCGATTCTGGTTCACGATTTCTTTGATCGAAGGCTTCAATTCTGCATCGCAATTCTGCTTTGTTCGAAGCGACAGGAGCGTTCGACCATCCTGAAGGCTCTGATGGAGTTGATTGATAAGACCGAAGCCGAAACAAGGTCTTCAAAAGCCCATGGAGGCACAGCTTTGTTGCCAGAAGCAGTTGAGTGCAGACTAGCAGGGACACACAGATAAGAACACGATGCAAAGAGAAAAGGCTCTATGAGTGGCCTTGATAAGCACACCTAGCATCACCTTTGATAGGAGTAGGACCGGGTGTTCCTGCCCTTGAGCGTGTTCGCATGTCTTCGCCCTTTTCGAGGCAAGAAAGCAAGACGAAACTTGAAAACAAACACTGAAGAAAAGACCGAGCAGTTCGCTTTGTAGCGTTTGATTTGTACAGTCTTTGTAGATTGAACACCTCGAGAGTGACTGGAGCAAGTTTTTAAAGGGTAGAGCTACCTTGCCTTTGTTACCAGACTCTCAGACTGTTTTTGGTAGACCGCTGCAAGACACGCATGGCGTGAGATTTTCCACGTGGAAGATTCCGTGACTGGATTTCTGAGCAACCCTTGTGCCACACACCCTGATGCCCAGAGAAAGGTTACGCATTTTGGCAGACTTGGCAATGCTCATCAAGCATTTTGGCCATTTTTGTGTCGCGATGTTGCCAGCTCTCTCTCTCTCTCTCTCGCTCTTCCACTGATTGTGCAGCAATTTTCGAGCGAAGCTTTTGCTCTCTATAGCCGATATGGGAAGACACAAAAAATGGCGAGTCGAGTTTCGGTCGAAACGTCAAGAGTTCCGTTCGAAACTCAAGTTCCGTTTCGTTCTCCATGCTTAGTATCGGTCCCGTTCGATGCCTCTTTGCCGCATTTGCCTCGCGTTTCTCTCGGCACCACCAGACTTCCAGTCGAATTGCACTCAGATCAGTCCGCCATGGCGCCACCAGTGCTTACCCATGACCTTGCTTTGGAGATCCAGGAGAGTCGGGAGATCGATGGACAAAGCTGGATTTCTTTATGTGTCTTTTGAGTCTGACACCTGTGGTACATCTCTCAAGCCTGGAGTAAAGTGGGCACGTCTATATTATATTCCTAGCTGTGAGATTTATATAACCGTTGAGCCAAGCATGATTGGTAACCCTGCCTGGAAGTGTCGACGAAAAAAGAGAAGCAGTGCAAAACCACCAGGTTGCTGATAGTTGCAGTCGCAGCCGCACAGCTCAGGTGCGAAACCATCAGTCGCAGTTAGTGTTTTTACTGCGCTGTTTGCCATGGCGACAAGCAGCGAACGGATAAACAACATGTTTGCCAACTCCTCCACTTGGCGTTCAAAGGAGGAAGAGCAGAAGGGTCGTGCAGCTATCCATGCCAGCCAGGCACGTCTTGAGAGTACTTCCATCTCAGGAAAGTCTCGCACCAAAGCCACTATCATTATATAGTTTGCAAAGTCACTCACAAATTAAGCTCAAAAAGACATAATCTGCACAAGGAAGACTTGATGCATTAATTCTCATGGTTCCGCACATGCCCATGGCCAACGCAAAGGTTTGGGACATGTTGAGCCATGATAGCGCTTGACTCTTAGCAAGTTTTCACAGAGTCAAGTTCAGGTCAATCGGTACAGCGCTGCCAATGCAAGGGCCTTCGCGGGAAGCACAGTAAGCCAAGAGGACTTAGAGAAGGAGCGCGAAGCATCACAGAAGCGGAAGGCTGCGGAAGCCAGCGAATTGGCAGAGCTCTTGGAGGACCACCGGGCTCAGAAAAAAACCGAGGGCTTAACTGGTCCATCTATTTTGGGATGACAATAGTATATAAAGTGTGCATGGTTCCGTATGTGTGCTCCACAGTGTCGCAGGCACAGAAGACCGAGAGCGCAAAGGGGCAAAAGCTGGCCTTCGCCAAGGTTGACAAGGAAAAGAAGGAGAAGAAAATGCCTGTCCTGGTGAAAAAGCCACGGACTGAATCTGAGAAGGTTCAAGAATTGAATGAAACAGAAACTGCAGAAAAGCGAGAAGACTCTGAACACGCCAAAATACCGGAGGCAAAGCCAGAGACAGCTACAGATGGTGGGATTGGCTTGGCATATTCTGACTCAGAGTCGGAGAGTTAAGAGAATGAAAAAATTAATGAACAGTGTCTTTTCGAAAGACAACATGTTCTGAGCAGCGACGACTTCAAGATGCCCACCGCGGACTTCGAGAATCCGCTCAGGATCCTTCGGCGTCCTAGGGATGGACGGAACAGCAGCACAAAGTGGCTGCTCTTTGGCGGTCTCACCGGCTCAAAGTGTCCCAGATCCAAAATGGCTGTGATTCTTTGTGACTCACCTGTAGCGGACAAACTTGGGGCCACCTTGTCTCATGTTTTTCCTATGTTTTTCTCCTTCCCGCCCTTCCCCTTCAGGACGCTATGATCCAGGAATTTCTTCAGCCAGATTTCCGATACAAATTGAGGGATGCCTTGGATGGCTCAGAAGGCGATATGGTGAAACAAGCTCTTTGGTTGCATTAGGTCGACTTGGTGTTTGAGATCGATCTGGACGGTTGATTTGGAAGATTTGCTTCGGTTTCTCTTCGCAAACTGCGAAGTCACCGAAGAACCAAGGCCCATGCCCGTCGAAATGTGTGCTTAGCAGTAGAGATCCCCTTGCTGGCGAAATTTGGCTATGATGCTTCTGAAGAAGCTGTCCACCAGCACAGCTGCTTGGAAGTGTGTTCAAATAGTGGTTTGAAGATGTTTAAAGGAAACGTTGCGTGAAGATTGTTGAACATGTTCATTTCTTCCAGGTTCTGTCAAAAGCGCATGACTGTTTCCTAGCCCAGTCATGTGGAAAAGATACCAGGCTTGGCCATGGCACCCCTGCTACGAGATTGCCCTGACATCGTGGAGAAGAACCAAAAACTGGTGCGATTGGCGACTTGGCTCCGAAGCAGATGGCGACTTGGGGACTCAGGGAGTGGAGACTAGATCAAGCGGTGCCTTCAGCAGCTTGAGCCTTGACTCCAGTGACTAATTGAAATCCTTTGAATGCTTGTTGGTACATAGGTATAATTACATATGCATACAATGAATGCGTTGAAAGAAGCGTTTTTTTTGTTGTTTGTCACCGGCTTCAAGGTGAACCCCACTATGGATGTGTATGAGGATGATCACATTACAGGGGACTGAAAGTGCGGGTGAGAAAGGCAAAAGTCACATGCACAAACCCGCCAAAATGCTTTGAGTTTGCTTGACGAGTGCAGTGCAACCGAGTGACTTTCAAAGCCAACAGATCACTTTCAAAATGACTGGACTCTACACAGTACTGAATCTGTGACGACAAGTTTCAGACAGAACTGTCTGGATTGTTTCGTGCGGTTGCTGATGCTGGTTAGACGGTTATATAGACTCCCTCTCAGTTGCGATAGATGCAAGTGCACCCTCGAAGTTCCGAAGATGTGGAGCTACCCTGGTTCGGTCCTAACTTCAGCGTCAGATCAGCCTTCACTACGGAAGCGTGACTTGTTTGGAGCAGGCAATGAGTGCGTTGTGATCGACTTGTGAGTCTTGTGATCGACTTGGGTGTGATTCCTGCTCCAGCCGCACAGGTCAATAGGGCATGTACAGGGTTCCCGCAGCCTTTAGCTGCCACGCACGAAATTGGCACCGACAGTTCTGCGTCACAGAGAAAAGAAGAAGCCTTGCAAGGGGTTTTCCGTCCTCCCACAATCACGAAAGCGAGCTCTTCACCCCCAATTGGTGCCCTCTCAAGGACACGCACGTCACAAGCATCATCTCAGTTGCTGGAACCAGTTTAACAAAACACAGGTTGTTCCAGATTGGTGTTTAATCATTAAGTCTTATCGGTGACACTAGTGATGAAACACCAGGGAGTACCAGCACCAAGAAAGCATAACTTCAGACTCCTCCAGCATAAAGAACATAACCACCAGCATTAAAAAAGAATCTAGACAACAGGGTGGCCCGAAAGCAGAGCAGGCAGTGAGAGAATGTAATGATGAGAAAAAGGATGATGAGGATGGTGATAATGATCTTTAGAAGCCTCCCAGTGTGCTGCAGAGAACTGCTGTGCGAATGGTTTGCTGCAGGGGTTCATATGGAGGCACTTGCATTATCAGACAAGACCTCAGAGAAGGCACATAGATGAAGCAAACAGCAAGGCACTTCATAAAGCAGCCACTTTTTCATCTGCTCCGGTCAGCCTAGGCCACAGGGATGAGTATAGAAGACCTGAGAGTGAAAGGGTAACAAACAAGTGTTTCAGTGATGTATGGTTAGTTCAAGTGTGGTCAGTATCGGGCAGCGCAGCTGTCCCTACAGCATCCCCCGCTCGAAAAAGAAAAGCCTTGAGTTAGTATGCACAACTTGTGGAGTGTCAAAATGTCATTAGGCGCGTGTTCAATGTTGTTCAGGCCACTGCATGCTCCCCGAACGCGTGCATGTTGCTGACATAGTGCTGGCAACGCTGAACACTGCACTTTGCATCACTTTGCTTTTTCAGCATCATGTTGTTGGCTTTGTGTGTGTTCTCGAGAAGTCGCTGGTGCCCACAGCTATTTGAGCCATCTACTCAACAAAAGCATGCCCAGTACTCGCAAGAACCTCTGAAGATTCTGAAGGGAGAGCTGAAATGTATAGAATGTGTTTTCGATGTTTTGACCATCCAACCGTATCACCCGCGATGTGTGTTCCTTGCGCAATGTTTTCTGTTATACGCGTGTATCATTTACAGTATCATTTTTGACATCAACTGGCCATGGCAGCCACAGAGGTCGGGAGCAGGCAGGGTTCAAAGAGTTTTCTTCTCGCAGGAAACTCTTGGGCGGCTGGGCTGTGGTTCGCGAGTGACTTTCTCAAAAGGCGATTGGGGGCGGCTGTGGCTGGCAAGACCGAGTCCAGTTTGTGTGGAATTATTGAAGCCGCTACCTGCAACATCCTGCAACTGGTTCCGGCCCTTTCTGGCATGCCTCGTGATCGGGTACCACCCTGGAGGTGGAACATAAGAAAACTTTTTCCGTGTGTCCAATGTTCGCGGGAACATATCGTCAGCTGCCTATAGAGCCTAACGCTATTGCCTATAGCAAAGTACTTAATGGTGCCTCTCTCTGGGGCAAAGCAAGTCGCCTTGTCAGAAGACAGAGGTTCAATGAACAGTCGTATGTCCGGCTAGGTTGAAGGAATCTACGACCCAACACTCTTGCTCTTCTGCCTTTAGGGTGTTTTTGCATGTACTTTCTCAAACATTGCGTATCGGCTTCATTGGCGCAGGTAGGCTAGAGCCCAAAGGCTCGATTCCAGTGTTCTTTGGCTCTGTGTTGCCTGCCTACAGGTTACAGGTTGGCCATTATACAGAGTAAATGAAAAGTAGCTGAGAGTGCAAGGTAGTGAATGGTTGCATTGTTTGCGGCAAAGCAAGCCGCCTTGCCAGAAGACCGAAGCTTTTGTTTCTTGAAAGCGGTGCTATTTTCAAAGCTGTGTGTCCTTGTTTCCAGTAAGGTTGCGTGAGGAATAAGGAACAATCTTGGAGCTGTCTCTTGGTCGAAGGGTCAAGCATGCCTACAAAGAGCACGCCGCCGTGCTATGAAACTTAGTGGGTCACGACTGCCAGCAGACAAAAGCCAACAATGGCAGAGTTTAACGGTTGTTCAGGGCCTTTGAAATCTTTGTTTCACGCCCCAACACACCTGCTCTTCTGCTGTCAGGGTGCTAGCGTGCGGCAAGCGCTTGCGTGTACTTTTTCATCGTTTCATATCAGCTTCATTGGTGCAGGTTAGGCTAGAGCCCAAGAGCTTGATTCGGACGTTTTCCAGCTCTTTTGCCAGCTGACAGGTTGGCCATTCTACCAAAGCAAATGAAATGCAGCTGAGAGAGCAAGGTAGTTAATGGCTTCTCTGTTTGCTGCAAAGAAAGACGCCTTGTCAGAAGACAAAGGCTTTTTCTTCTTGAAAGGGATGCTACTTTCCAAGCTGCATGTCTTTTTTTCCAGTTTTTTTGGGTTGCGTGAGGAATAAGGAACAATCTTTGAGCTATCTCTTGGCAGAAGGGTAAACCATGCCCATGCTTCAGCTGTCAATGCTTCAGCATTCTGATCCTCTGAGCTCACAGCCACGACAACAAAGTGCGTGTCTAAACCGAGTTGTCATGTTGAAGTCGCAAAGTCGGGTGCCCGTCTAAAGTGTCGAGGGAGACGAGAAGCCGTGATGCCTTCTTTGGCACTGGTCCTTTGTGTGTACTGCCTTGAGCAATGCGCGTACTCTTTGTCACCCGAATTGGCATGATCAATCATGTCCAGCTAGGTTGAAGGACTCAACGCCCCAACACTCTTGCTTTGTTGCCTTCAGTGCGCTTGCTTGTCCTTTCTCGAACATTGCATATCGGCTTCATTGTAAGAGCTTGATTGCAATGTTTTCTAGCTCTCTTTTGCCTGCCTAAAGGTTGGCCGCGGTCCGTGAACAATGTGTATACTGCTTGTCGCCCAGGTATCAGTCGCCCTTTGCTGCTTTGATGCCCATGCGAAGTCACAAGCAGGTTAAGCTAGAGCCCAAGAGCTTGATGGCCATGGTCCTTTGCATGTACTGGTTTGAGTTTGAGCGATGTCTTCACTGGTTTTCGCACAATCAATCATGTCCGGCTAGGTTGAAGGAGTCGACGCCCCTACACTCTTGCTTTTCTGCCTTCAGGGTGCTTCCGTGTACCGTGTACTTTCTCAAATTTTGCGTATCGGCTTCATTGGCGCAGGTAGGCTAGAGCCCAAAAGCTCGATTCCAGTGTTTTTTGGTTCTGTGTTGCCTGCATACAGGTTGGCCCTGGTCCTTTGTGTTTACTATCTTGATCAATCATGTCCGGCTAGTGTTTGAAGGAGTCGACCTCTCTTGCACAGGTTAGGCTAGAGCCCAAGAGCTTGATTCCAGTGTGTTCTAGCTCTTTGTTCCCCTACCTACAGGTTGGCCATTCTACAAACCCACATGAAAGCAAAGGCCAACAAAGAGAGCAAGGTAGTGGCTTCTCTGTTTGCGGCAAAGCAAGCCGTGTTGTCAGAAGACAAAGGCCTTTGTTTCTTGAAAGCGATGCTACTTTCCAAGTTAATGTCTGTCCTTGTTTCCATGTATTTTTGAAGTTTGCATGATGAACAACCCTTGAGTTGGTCGAAAAGATAAAGCCTGCCTATGCTTGAGAAGCTGTCAATGCTTCAGCATTCTGAGCTCACAGGAGCCAAGACAAAGAGCACCCAGCGGTGCTTTGTGACAGTAATTCGCGATTCGCACACAAAGTCCATTTTCAATGGCAGAGTTTAATGGTTGTGCAAGGCCCTTTTCATGAAATCGTCTCTTCGATGGAGACAATCCACCTGTGAAACCTGGGCGATGGGAGTCCAGGTTTTGGTGAGCAAGGTCAGGAGGTTGTTCGTTGAAAGAAGAGTGCTTGTCCAAACGCATGCGACTGCAGGCTCTGCACTTTGAAGCTGAACTAGCAGAAGTCCGAGTTGTCATGTTGAAGTCGCAAAGCCGGGTGCCCGTCTGAAGTGTCGAGGGAGACGAGAAGCCGTGACGCCTTGCTTGGCACTGGTCCTTTGTGAGTACTGCCTTGAGCAATGCGCGTACTCTTTGTCGCCCGAATTGGCATGATCAATCATGTCCAGCTAGGTTGAAGGAGTCTACGCCCCAACACTCTTGCTTTGTTGTCTTCAGTGTGCTTGCTTGTCCTTTCTCGAACATTGCATATCGGCTTCATTGTAAGAGCTTGATTGCAATATGTTCTAGCTCTCTTTTGCCTGCCTAAAGGTTGGCCGCGGTCCCTGAACAATGTGTATACTGCTTGTCGCCCAGGTATCAGTCGCCCTTTGCTGCTTTGATGCCCATGCGAAGTCACAAGCGATGTGAATGCTTCAGGCGGTTTTTATTCGTTTAAAGAAGAGTGCCTAAACCGATACAGGCTTTGTACTTTGAAGCTGAACTAGCAGAAGTCCGACTTGTCATGTTGAAGTCGCAAAGCCGGGTGCCCGTCTAAAGTGTCGAGGGAGACGAGAAGCCGTGATGCCTTGCTTGGCACTGGTTCTTTGTGCCTTTGTGTGTACTGTCTTGAGCAATGCGCGTACTCTTTGTGGCCCGAATTGGCATGATCAGTCATGTCCAGCTAGGTTGAAGGAGTCAACGCCCCAACACTATTGC